TACCTCACTTAATGGCAGAAGTAGCATAGCGCCACCTGTAGGCATGTCTGTGCACAAGGATTTGGTGGTTGAGGACATGCCGACTAACTGTTACGTTAATAACTAATCCTTCATTTAAAACTGTTTTGTTTTTGTGTTTTTCTCTGTTAAAGTTTTTGAAATAACAATAAATGTTTGAAGAAAGAGGTTTTATATCTGTATTTCAGTTATTTCATCATTTTTCACTATTTGATGTGTATCGTAATACCAGTAGTATCATCAGTCCGTATCGTGATACGATTCGTATCGCAAGACACTAGGCGATACTCAGCTCTAGTTGAAGTGTACTTTGAAGGGCCAGTATGTCGGCTGTTCTGAGGCATTGTTTGCAATGTCCTTGCATTTGCACACGTCGTATGAACATCTCACGGGGAAAACCCATCTCCATTGGTGACACATGGCTGTGTTCCAAGTCTGTCGTGTATTTCCTTATGTAAATATTAGTAATTACTGTCTATTTGGAAACCCGTCATGGACCAGCACAGATTGTATGGTGTGTAATTAGACTGGACATTAGCACAGGAATGGCAAGAAGACACGACAGGAATAAATCCATCAGCTCCTTAACCACCTGAAATACCTCATTTACTTGGAGGTCTTGACTGTTTTGTGATCTCAATGGAGTGGGTATAGGCTAAATAGCAGACATTGTTGAACCCAAATGGTGTAAATTGAGACAAAGAATGTTTCGAAAGTGGTCATAATGGAATAATTGAAGTTAGAGTCCTGCCTTGCCTATATAGTTGAAACTGCCTCGTTAAGTTTACCACACATTGCTGTTAGTTAATGATAGGAATGCCAGACTATTTTCTAGCATGTATAATATGTTTATCCATATTTCTGATTGCTGCAAGAGAATCTAACAGTTTTACTCCACTAGTCCTTATAATGATAACATATGGGAAATAATGTGAAATTTCTACTAGTCCCTAGGATACCTTAACTATTGGGCAGTTTGGCAAGGACAAAAGGATGAGTGCCAATTTCAAATACAGTAGATCAATACAGATGCACTCTGATTTCAATTCTGTTTTTATTTCAGCAAAATGGAGATATTTGTTTGTATTACTTATGGCTGAAACCACAGGAGGAAATGGCATTATGAATATCAAATTGACATTACACTTTTAGCTCAACTTTATACATCCAGTGACTTGGCTTGACTTGACTTGACTTGACTTGACACTGTTTCAAAACTGTATATGTTCAAAGATTGTCTCTGAAGTGTGCATGTGTGGACAAAATACAACTTTCATGTTTGCATTTCTTGTCTGTGGAAGTCAGGCATTATGCAACTGCAGTGGTATCTCTGAAGAGACAGCATTCACTCATGATGTATGTGTAATCTTGAAGTGTACTTTAAAGGGCCAGTATGTCGACTGTTCTGAGGCATTGTTTGCAAACAATAGCTGATGACCTCCCGAGTTTACCTGGCTTCACCCGCCTTATTCCCCGAGAGAAGTTTCAGCTCCAGTGACCACACCACGAGTGTAGGCTTATCACGTGACTGGACTTTTCTCTTGTTTGTAAACAAACCAGTATTCTGAAATAAGAGCCGAAGGGGCTAATGCAATCTTTTCGGTGCACTTTGCCTGCTACTCCAACTGTGACCGTGAGGTGCATGACAATATAGCTTTACACATCAAAGTGACCGTATCGCTGCCTCTCTGAGGGACTTTTATGCCAGCAAATGGAGGAAAATACGCACATGGAAATTGATTTCCTCGTTAAGGATGTTTCACAATGAAAGTTAAACATTTCATGACATTTGTATAGACTCTTTAAATGAAAAGATTAAAAACAAAAGCAGTATCTTGAATAGACTGTGTAAGATGTGAAGATGAACTGGCCGCAAGGAACTCCGGGTAGGAGAGTGATTGGCTTCATGAGACTGAGGCATTTATATTGTAATCTAGGCTTTGACAAACACTGGCTTCTTATCCAGTCAAGCTGACAAATAGTATTTTGTAACTCATCCATGAGAAAAGCACACAAGCTTTCTCTTCAAAAACATGACGGAAGACATTTATTCTGTGCAACACTTGGGTTGTCGGCTTTCCCTGTGCAGAGCTGTATTGTTTTGGTTTGAGTTTCGAATCTTGCATGAAGTAAAGGCGTGACGTCACACTCGGAAATTATTTCATGCATGACTTAATAACACCCAGAACCGTCGATGTACTGGCCCTTTAGCGAAGCTTCATACCCCAGCACAGTTGCAGTTTTCAGCCGCTAGCCTGATATAAAAATTACTCTCATAGAAGTTTTTATGATTGGTTCTAGTACGTTCAGCTCATAGTAGTCCATATCTGAACACTAATATCTGCTGGTAATAATGTCAAGAGACAAGATTGAGCAACCACTCTCAGAAGTGCTTTGCATAGACTTTTGAAGAGAGGTGGTTGAAGGTGTGACCTGTATATCAGCGTTAGAAATTGGCACTCTTCATATAGTCCTTGCAAAACTGCCCAATAGTTAAGATAACCTAAGGCCTAGTCGAAACTTGCCCCTATTAAAGGTTTTTTTCTATATGTGATCATAACAAGTGTAACAGGGGGTGTAACGTTAATAAATAACACTGGTCGTTGAATGTGAAGAGGATTTGTCGGTCAGAACAAACGCCCTGAAACATATACTTCAAATATATATATATGTATGTAAATATACACAGACATAAAGATGTAAGGGCACATCACATTCACATGCAGTCATATTATTTTATGTTCATTCACATCGTCACATCGATGACAACATAGAAGTAGATTGAACTCATGTTTTTAACAAATACATTGAAGGATGTGTTATAAGTCACAGTAACTATACATGCAATGACGAGTGATATTTTTGAACACCCCCGTTACATAAGGACTCTGTGAGTGAGTGAGTGAGTGTGTTGACCCAGGCTGGATTATTTAGGGCCAGGATATTGATGACTGCACATTCACTCACTCACTCACTCACTCATTCGGTCACTGAAATGTTGTTTGTACTGTTTCCTTCCGGATAGAACCATATGTCAGTTTTGAGAAGCCATCAGTTTGAAAAAACATCGCCTCAAATTCTAGAAGCACTACAAGTCAAGGGTCTGTCGTCATCATAATTTAAAATGTTAAAGATTTAGGGGTCTCGTGATTCAAACAGACCCCAGAGTCCCCCTAATTTCAAACACTGACACTAATTTGAAAATGCAACTTCTATCTGAGACCACAAGGTGCATTTCCTTCCTTTCTAATGTTTCTCAAGATTCAAGCCGTATTGCTGAAAAAAGATATTTCTTTTTGAATTTTATGGAACTATAAATACTTGTCAGCTCCTTTCAAGTGTTTGAAATAAAGTTTGAAAGTCAAAGGGTCCTTGTCGTGATCATACAGTAATGTTATACGTTAAAGATATGGGGGTCACTGAATTCAAATACCCAAGAAAACCTCTGGGACCCCAGCACCCCCGTTGATATTTACCACTGCTTGCTGTGACCTGGACATGTCAGTATAAATTTTATTTGCTTGTTGCAATATTCTAGCTATATAACGACAATCTGTAAAAAAGCATGTTTGGATCAGACAATCTGGTGAATAAAATTGTGGTACATTGTTTGGTTACTCGTTAGCTAAGCCAGAAAAATGGACCTCAAGTTAAGGAAAATAAACTGGTTTGGCTGGTGAATATAATGTCTGAAAACAGGTTAGGTAAATATGAAACTTGGGACTAGGACTTGGTTCTCGTGGTATTCATAGATTTCAAGCCTAAATCAATTTGTCAATAGTTTCTATTTCCCTAAGGATCCTTCGAGGTCCGCAGTCACACACACATGCATACGCACTCACGCACATAATTCTGTTTTATCTGTAATTCACACGCACATACGGAAATGTTGACAACGTAATTGTTGCATTGAAGAGAAAACCAACAAAAAATATGTAGCATGATTCAGCTGAACTGGTATTACATTGAGTCATGCTGTTGTTTTAGTAGATATCATCCAATTACCACCACCATTAGGTTGGATGTCGTCTTAAAAGTTAATAAGTTATGTATATGTTTAGTTCATTTCAAAGTAATTAGTACATATTTACTGAGCAATTTTCATATGAATGTCACAAAATCCCTTTGTGTCAAATTTTTGCTACTACTTCCACTTCATCATTGAGAATAGTTTTTCGAATGAAACATTATTTATAGCATTGTAATGAGTGGTAGATGATGTACTTGCATCCTGGGCCTAAACATTTGTTTAGAATTTATTAATCAATGGTGTGTGTGGACGGCCGAACATTTATAGAAGCTAATGCTACAAGAGGAAAAGGAACTGTTACATTTGAGGCTGTTCATGAGCACTGAAATGAAATATTGATTTTTTTGAATATTTTTTTGTTTTTAACTGCCACTTAAGTGAAACAGCCTGAAATAGCATGTTAGCATAACAGACATAAGCTAACAAAGAGACGTGTTGTCGTCTTGCATATTGAACTTACAACCACAACAACTGACAAATAGGGGTGATGACGCTTTGTTTCAAACCAGCCATTTGAAAGGTTATTTTGTACATATACCAAATCTTCCAACCTTCTAAACTTCTCTTTTGTGTGAACAAAGTGGATTTCTGGAAGTTTTTAGATATTGTCCTATCTATTAATTCCATTAGACGTTTTATGTACAGAACGTCCTCACAGGACAGGAGATGAGCAGTACATGGAATATATATTTGGCACAATACGTTATATATTGATATGCAGAAAAGTATACATAATCAATTCACATATAAACAAGCTGGGGATCTATGCAGTTACATTTAATATTTTCCGAATTGGTAACTTGTTGCCTTAGATAATATTGATGATCTTAAAATAAACGTTTGGTATATGGCATTTGAAAATATTTTTCAGAAGAAGAGGAATTATTTCCTGCATTGAGAGAAGTTGAAAACAGTTAAGTTTCCTGAATGATAAAAGTATCTTGTTTTTCAGAAATCGGAGCGACGACAACAACATGCCACCAAAGAAACCGAGTTTCTTCGACTCAAGCGATCTCGCCTTGGTGTGGATGACTTTGAACCCCTCAAGGTCATCGGCAGAGGCGCTTTTGGCGAGGTAAGTGTCCGGAATTACAAGGACCATTATTCTCAGGTTCTTATCTGCAGCTTGTTCCAGTTGATGCTTTGCAGCAAGGGCTATCCTGTTCAACCAGAGCTCCAGATAAGCTGCGTATCTGCGTGAAATACGCATCAGAAATGCAGAAATACGCAGTAAAATATAATCCAAGCGTATCAAATACGCAACGAACATTACAGATACGCTACAAAAATAAAATTTGTGCGTATCATCAAAATATTGTGAAGTAACCCTGCGTATTTGACTAGCAAATCAGCAACTTATTTGGAAATTATAAACGGGCATTCCGTCAACCTTGCCAAACTCCACGATGACAGTTACATCATGATCATTTGCCATCACACTTTCGTGTGGAAGTATCGTGGTATTTTTGAGTCCTATAAAGCTCTCGAACCCACACGACACCAGTTTGCAGGGACTAGATGAATAGTGTTTTTAAATATTTAACTTAAATACCCACATGTGTAAAAACTAGTGGGTAACAGAAATTTGAATACGCAGATAGAATTACTGATACCCAATGATTTTAAAATGCATGGGTAAAATACCCACAACACCAAAAGCTTATCTGGAGCTCTGTCAACATAAGTAGACGTAACAGTAACAAGTCTTAGTGACCATGTATATGCCCTCTAGCCTTGCTCCAAGGCTGTACTAAAAGAAGAGTCCATGGATGTGTAGTAGGGATGGGACGTTACACCAACTATGCGATCCGATACGTATCACAATACCTTGTTCACGATCTGATATGTACCACGATACTTGTATGTGCTTTTACCTGTGGTGTGTAAGCCATCTTTTTAATAGACAGGATAGTCAAATAACTGGCACACTGACAATTTACAGTTGAAAATAATGAATGAAAATATTTACCTTTTCACTACTAATTTTCACTACTAATTAGTGTTTGGTGTAACAGCCATTTAAAGAAAACATGGAATGAATCGATATTTTTTACTTTTTGTGCGACTGTGATCGATACTTGTATCGGGAAGAAAAATACTGCGATCCACCGATGTGTAGTAATTCCATCCTCCTCGTCAGCAAGTCTAGATATGTGAACTAAGGACTCTGGTCTCTTATAGAGACAACTTGTTCTTATTATTTACATAATCTAGAAATTATGAATTAACCTGATAATTATTGCCTTTGAGACTTGTGAAAGTCTACAGTATTATGTAGCATGTGGGGAAAAAGCCAAGTTGACCCAAATGCACAGATATTCTGGCCTTCCTTATAAGTCTGTGCAAGCTCTGATGCAGAGCTACCCTTTCCCCAGCCAATAAGCGGGGTTGTAGACACAGTTTCGTATTAATATTTACACAGGTTGGTAATAGATATGGCTGCTAGTCCAAGACTAGTAAAAATCAATAGGGCCTAGTTATTTTCACCCAGAATTAAGTTAGTTTACGTAAACCACAGGGTTGAAATGAGCTGTGGACTAGTTCGATTGACCAATGGTGTCTACCCTTCTGCTGATCCATAGCCTCATTCAAACTGCACAGTGAATCTATTGCCTAATCAAGATGTATTCACTATTTCATGTACCTTATTCAACGTAATAAGCGCATTGCTCTAATAAGCGCCCACAGTGATATTTGCTAATATATTGGCTAGTGAACAATCCTAATCAGCATCCCTTCTGATAGATCAATGTACACAAGACTTATTTTTTCGTGTATAATACGCACTCGTGTGTTATATGCACCCTTAATTATGGGCAGTTGAATTCTGGAAAAATATATCTGTCGTATGTAAACATTTTAGGCTGTCAGCATAAACCACAAAATTTACGATCTTTCAACTGTGTTTTTTTTTCACTAAAATAATATTCTAATAAGAGCTCCCTATTTCTAATTTTGAGAGCACCCTGTGAGCTTATTATGTCGAATACGGTATTTTGCATTAATCTGACCACAAGACAGTTGAATACCATCAGTGGACTTGATGAAGTGTGCCTTGTATAGGAAAGATAGTACAGGTGCTACTCCTCACCTGTGCTCAAACAGAGAGACAGTGAGTTACTATGTTATGACATTGACTGTGAGGTTAGAGTTTGGGCTAAAGATTAATTATTGGTCTTCATTGGGGAAAACTGATCAATTACTGTGTAAATTACAATCAGACTATATTGATTCTTTGGTAGAATTGGTTCCAAGTACTTGTCTTAAGCATCAACTGTTAAATAGCATGTGATAACAATGTATGACCTGGCTGGTTAAGTTATTATATCCCAGCATGTGGAATATTGCACATACTATCAACCACTGGCCAGGACTTGTGCTCACTAACTCACTCACTCACTCACACACCAACTCACTCACTCACTCACTCACTCACTCACTCACTCACTCACTCACTCACTCACTCACTCACTCACTCGCTCGCTCGCTCGCTCGCTCGCTCGCTCACTGTAACCTTCTGGTAATAGCTTTTGCTGTATTCTGTTGTGCATGTTTGACAACCACAAAACACACTACACATAACTGCCCCCCTATCCATGTTGTTCTTCCCCATAGAGTCCTCCAGCAAGTTAAATATCTTTGTGCAGTGCAGCGTCATTCAGCTTTGTAAGCGTCTTTGACACAGCAGGGCTTGTTTCAAACAGGACTGTAAATACAATGTTGCATGATGGTGTTTGTGTAGTCCCTGTGAGGGTCCATGTGAATAGCGACATGGCTTGTCGCGCTCAACTGCCCCGGTAGCAACAGTCAGGCCCAGTAAGGCTGTAGAGATACCACTGAGCATGTCACTGCATCAATTAGGGTACACCACTGTTAGTCAGAGGCTTCAAAGTTACCGAGACCACCTCCATGGTCTAATACAAAGAGCATGGGCCTGGAGAGCGGACGACTGTCAGTTCGATCTTTGAACACATCGTACCAAAAGATGTTAAAGCATGGTACTTTTTGTTGCCCTGGCTGGCGCTGGGCAACAAGGACTGATCGGCTCGGAGTCGGTATACTGTGTACCGTTAAGCCCAACTCACTCACTCCATACAAGCAAATATCCCATTTCCAGGTCACCTGTACAAGATTGAAATTCTTCAACCAGAGTGACACTAGCTCCCTCACTGAAGATTCTGTGTCATGTTTAAGTCAGGCAAATGATGTTTTCAAGGCAACGCCAATAAATGGTAATAGTTTTGCGAAAATCTTTGTTAGCGTGTCACCACAGTCCAACATGTTATTCAGCTCGCTCTCCGGTCTGAAGGCAGAGTTCTCTAACACCATTGTGCAGTCAGTTTTCATTTGATGACACGGTTACCGGTAACTCTTTGCAAAGGTTGACTTCCAGATGCTTTATCCTCCATTTTATTGTCATGGTTTCTGCTGTGTCAGGAGTTTGTTTGTTTCCCTGTTCAGTATTTCCGGCCTTGAAAAGGAAGGACAGATTTATAGGTTGTTCAGTGGCTTGTCAGAACACCTGAAAATTTGCCATCGGTCTTGTTTGATTGAATGATTTCAATACAAATATCTTCTTGCTTGAATTCTTGAGTGATATTTCATAAATCTATCAGATCCTGTTTGCAGGTGTGTATAGGGCATCTTGCTGTAATTGCCTTCTCTAAACTCTTCACGATTTATTGCATAAAGTGTCAGGATATCACCTTGGCTTGATGAGCTACAGGGGAGGTCGGGTAGCCTAGTGGTTAAAGCGTTATCTTGTCACGCCGAAGACCCGGGTTCGATTCCCGACGTGGGTACAATGTGTGAAGCCCATTTCTGGTGTCCCCTGCCGTGATATTGCTGGAATATTGCTAAAAGAGGCGTAAAACCAAACTCACTCACTCACTCACTTGATGAATTGCGAAATTCCAAACTGTTTTATGCAATGGATGATATGTCTCAGCTTGTGACAGACTTGTTGGGCAGCAGCCTATTTTGACAAGGGAGGATTGACTGTTCAGATCATATTGCCACTCGGAAACAATACACCGCAAGGACAACAGATGACGCAACAAAAAATCTTTCATGTATGAAAAACTGGCATACAGTATATGCGTCACTAGTTTGTTTGTTTAATGCTGTAATCAACAATATCCTCACTTGTAAAACATGAATATTCATACCTAAACAGTGTCCTTTGCACCTTAGATAAAAAGACATTGTCTTTGTTATCACATGCCCTTATATTCAGAACATCCGTCAAACATGATGGATAGATGTTTGGGATATGGTGTTTTTGAACCTCTGTCTGTTATTCTGTTTCCATAATCTCTTTTATTAATAAGGGATGGAAATTTACCATGAATGTCTTCTAGCCAGAATAGTGATAACATGTAGCAATACCCCCTTCTACTCGCCCTTAGGATACCTTGAACATTAACAAAATTGGTCAAGGCTAGCAGGCTAGTGCTAATTTCCATCCCTGTTCAATCTACTAGAAACCTGTTATTTTTGTAAATTCCCTTGGATATTAACTGTGTTTGTTAATCAGCACTATGAATATAAAGGAAAGGCAATGTATAGTATAGGGCTGGGACGGTATTAACTTCCATGCACTGATGCAATAAACAACAGCTTAGTCACAATATCGGTGAAGGCTTCATGATCATATTTCATGACTTTGACGATTTCATGTTATATATCGCATGGCTATGTGATATGAACATGGTCTGTGCTATGTATTGACTGTGTGATGCAAGCAATAGGAAGGTAGCTTCAGCCAATGGGAAGGAAGAAGGGAATTACTGCTCATTCTGATTTCGTATGCTGGTGTGTATATTTCACATTATTTCCTGATGGTAGTTGATTTATGTGCAGTGTGTCATGGACTGATACTAATTTGCAGTGGGCAAGGAAATATAGGGAAGGGAGGGGCATGTTTTCCCAGGCAACACACGTTATGATATTTCGTTAATTAGTTGCATGATGCAAGGCATGATGTGTACGTTCCCCATTGTTGCTTATCTGGAGGAATCCATTTTCTGATTAATTATTATGAAGTCGCAGGCACCAAATAGTGAAATTAAGCGT